GTGATAGTGGGACTCTATAATTAAATATATTAAATATCACAGATTACAATAAAATTTTATTTCTAAAAAAGAATTAAAACTTATTTTATTCTTTTATAGGATAAACCAGGTAATCATACTTGCGGTTATTGCGGATTGCGTTTTTATAAGGAAAATCATTAAGTGATATGTATATGTATATGAGTAGTATTATATTAATTGTTAATTTATAAGGTATATTTTAGAATGTCATGTTGTAATAAATGTATAAAATAAAACTGACACGTGACAATTTAATTTAAAAAGAACTGTACCAACTTAAAAAGTAAAACCCAAGTAGTTATTATTTTTAATTATATGATGAAACCTAAGTGATATATCTACATATACAATAATATGAATATTTAAAAAAATATAAGTTTCGTAAAAAAAATGTTTTAGAAATTGTGGAATTTAAAAGATCTATTCACCGATTTTATCAATTCGACCTTGGGTGGTGTTGCCAAAATCAGGTCAAAGTCGCATCAATTTTTTAAAACTTCCATTTTTTATTGCGTATTTTTGTAAACTCCCTAGTATATCTTCGATGTTTTTGAATTTCAGACGTGCTCCTGAAAACTCACAGCGAGTTGGCAACACTGATTGCAATATTTTGCGATTATGACAGATTTCCTAACCTAAGATAATCATCATTGTCATCAACTTTTAACAATTAATATCATGATTTAGAACGATGTTTTATTTCTGCCAGATTTGTTCATTTCGTGCAAAATGCATCGAATGAGTCCAATTAGTCTAATTTCATCAACTCGGAGCTGGTTATGCTAAACTGAACAATTATATTTTCTTTCACCAACATATTAAATGTATCTGAACAAATTATTCAAACTGAGTTCTATTTATGTATTTTAACTTTCCAATTACAATGTGAGTATTACACGATAAATATTCTAGCCTCAAAAAATATCTATCAACCTTTAATATAATATATTCAAATTTTACATTATTTATATTCCTTCTTAACAACATATTTAGTTAGTTTACTTTTACAGATACTGAATTTTAGAAGAAATTAAGAATGATGAAAGTTTGCATATATTTGTTTAAAAGGCTTAAACAAACACAAAAGGTTTAAACACAATAAGTATCATTTCTAGTACAAAAAAAATGAACAATCTTTCTGGACAATTCCGCAAGACAACATGGGATCCCTTTCTCATAATTTCTCAGATAATTGCTGTACAGTCTATCATGTATCTTTGCCTTGGATTCTGGATTTGGATTGTTGCATCGTTGTTGGAGTGGACAAAATCATTGGATTATGTGTTTCAGTATAAAGAAATACATGTTCGTGACTTCGGAGGACAATTAATTATTGTTATGTTTGTTCTGAATGCTTTTGTGGGAGCATTTGCATTATGGTGGCTAGTGCAAAGAACAAAATTATGCATGGACTTTGCATGTACAGCCCATTGCATTCATTTGATTTGTTGTTGGGCTTACAATGGAACTTATCCAACATCTTTCAGCTGGTGGTGTTTAAATCTTGTATCGTTAAGTATAATGTGCGTCTGTGGAGAATTCCTTTGTATGAGAACTGAACTACAAGCTATACCTTTAAGTATGAATAGTCAAAAGATAGCCTTATGAGATAAAATTTGTCAATTGATAAAAGATGAAATTTAAATAAATCTCTTTAATAAATATATTGTTATATGAATATATCGTCAGTGTTAAAATTTGTTAAGACTACATATATACATATATATATATTATATATATATATAT